GAAAAGAGTGCGAGAGAGGAAGGAGAGGAAGGAACGAGAAGAGCAGGAGCGTCTGGAGAAGGAGGCTGCTGAGAAAGAGGAGGAAGAGCGCCTTGCCCGCGAAGCTGAAGAGGCGGCGGCTGAAGAGGCGCGTATTGAGGCCGAAGAAGCTGAGGCCGCACGTATATTGGCAGAGGAAGAAGAGGAGAGGAAGAGGAAAGAAGAGGAGTCAGCAGCCTCAAAACTGGCAGGTTGGGGCGCCAGCATTTGGGGCTCTTCAAAGAAGAAGACGGAAACCCCAAGGGAGAGAAGAGCCCGCGAGAAGAAAGAGGAGGAAGAACGCTTGGCGAAAGAAGCTGCCGAACAAGCAGAGAAGGAGCGTCTCGAGCAAGAAGAACAGGAACGTCTTCAGCGCGAAGAAGAGGAGCGCCTAGAACAGGAACGCATCGAGCGTGAAGAGCAGGAGCGTATCGAAGCAGAAGAAGCTGAGCGTGCTGCTGAAGAAGAACGACTCCGCATCGAAGCTGAGGAGGCTGAGAGAGCTCGCATAGCTGCAGAAGAGGAAGAAGCGCGTCGCATAGCTGAGGAAGAAGCTAAAGCAAGTTCCGGATGGGGCATGTTTGGCTTAGGGAAGAAGAAGGAGTCGAGCAAGGCGAAGCGTGAGCGAGAGGCCAAGGAGAAGAAGGCGGCTGAAGAAAAAGAACGGCTGGAGCGTGAAGCCAGAGAAGCTGCTGAAGCTGAAGCAGCTGCCGCCGCCGAGGCCGAAGCCGCTGAAGCCGCCGAGGCGGAGAGGGTTGCGAAGGAGGCGGAAGAGGCTGAGTTTGCTCGCATTGCTGCTGAGCAGGATATGGTACTCGAGCCTGAGCCAGCCCCGAAAGAAAAGAAGAAGAAAAAGAAGAGAGGCGTTGTTGAAGAACTTCCACCGCCTCCGCCGCCCCCACCCGCCGAGCCTACGAATGACGACGAACTGTTCGATCTGATCAAGGATGAAGACGCAGGTGACCTCTTGGCCGAGCTCGAGAAACCTACCAGGAAGGAGGAGAAAGAAGCAGCTAGCGGGTGGGGCAGTGCGTGGGGTATCTCTCTGCGCAAGACCAAGCCTGAACAGCCAAAGCCCAGCATCTGGGATGAACCAGAACCGGAGCCAGAGCCAGAGCCAGAACCAGAGGTCGAGGAACCCGAGCAGGAGCCAGAGCCAGAAGCTGAACCAGAGCCTGAGCCTGAGCCTGAACCTGAACCAGAGCCTGTCAAACTTACCCCCAAGGAGGAGCGAAGACTCAAAAAGTCCAAGAAGCATCGGCATGTGGAACCAGAGCCAGAGCCGGAACCAGCCCCAGAGCCAGAGGTTGAAGAGGCTCCTCCAGAGCCAGAGCCTGAGCCAGAACCGGAGGTGGTCGTCGTTGAAAAGCCCAAGAAGAAGCTGTCCTCCAAGGAAAAGAAGAAGCTGGAGGAGGAGAAACTCAAGGAGGAGAAACGGCTGAAGAAGTTAAAGAAGGCCGGGAAGTTAGTCGAAGCTCCTATTGTGATTCCTGAACCCGATCCAGAGCCTGAAGTACCTGCCGAGAGATCCCCTCCTGCACCTGGTGCATTCCCTGACGACGAGGGCGATACGATGGACTTCCATGATGCAGAGGATGCAGCGCCGCCCGAAGAGCCTGAACCAGAGCCTGAACCAGAACCAGCCGCCGAACCGGAACCTGAGCCTGAACCAGCACCAGTGCCCGGACCTTCTATTCTCTCGGAGCTGAAGAAGTTGAAGAAGACCAAGAAGAGCAGCAAGTCGAGAGGGTTCAGTTTCGACGACCCGCCGCCGCCGCCTCCCGAGCCAGAACCAATCGTTGAGGAACCTGAGCCAGAGCCAGAGCCGGAAGCTGATCCTGAGCCTGAACCCGAAGCTGAACCAGAACCAGAACCAGAACCAGAACCGGAGCCAGAGCCAGAGCCTGTTAAACTCACCCCCAAGGAGGAGCGGAGACTCAAGAAGTCCAAGAAGAGTAGCAAGACAAGAACACGTCAGCCAGAACCAGAACCCGAACCTGAACCTGAGCCAGAACCCATTATCGAAGAAGCGCCTGAAGAAGCAGACCCTGACATGGACGACGACGACGAGGAAGCTCCCGAAAAACTTCCAACACCACCTCCAGAAGTTGCGCCTGAGCCCCCGTCGGAATCTCCAAGAAAAGAGCGTGTCAAGCTAGGTCGCAGCGCTACTACGGCCGCTGGAGGATGGGGCTTATTTGGTGCGGCCAAGACTAAGACCAGAAGGGTGTCTGGTGGTGAAGACGGCGCCGGCCTTCCCGATCGCACAAAGTCTGTGAGAACCTCGTCCACTCGGGACAATGACATCAAGTCACGTTCATCAGGCTCGGACAAGGTGCACTCATCCAAGCCAACGGTTTCACGGTCCAAGACGGCCCGCGCTGGTACTGGGCTAGGTGCCATGTTTGGTGTTGCTCCGCCCCCGCCTTCACGATCAAAGTCACATCGCACACCCAAGACGACGTCGCGCCGACCCTCAATCGACCAGGACGCTGCTATGATGTCGCCGCCACAAACAGACACTGATGCGAGGGTCTCTTCAAAGGCCGCCAAGGTCATGGGCATGAAAAGCTCGTCGCGCAGGACCAGCACTCGGGACGCCAGAGATAAGGGCTTCCGTCGAGGTGAGCCGTTCCCCGCTAAGCACGATGCGCCTGTCATTGGCCGGCGCAGCCGTAAGCAAACATTCGGAGCTAACCCTACGGCAGCTGTTCCAGACCCGTATCCTATTGACGACGACCAAGATCTTGACGATGAGTCTCCTCCCCCAGCTTCTCGTCCAGAGCCATCGCGTCGCAAATCCAAGCGCGACTCCGCGCAACCCCTTGAACCCTTGACTGCACCGCCTAGCGCTGACGATCCCATCGTCGTCGACCCCATGGACATGGACCCTGCCCCAGCTGAGGCTGAGCGGCCCCGCCGCGAACGTGAGCGGGAGCGACCTCGTCGTGCGCGCGGCAACTCGGATGCTATGGGCACGCTTGCTGGTGTCGCAGGTACTGCTGCTGCTGTGAAGGGCTTCAAGGGAATGTTTGGCCTCGGTCGCAAGAAGGCTGCGCCGGAAGAGGCACCCCGCGAGCGCCGCCGGACCGCCTACGAGACCGAAGACGAGCGCAGACATCGCAAGCGATCGACAACCCGTGGAGGCGCAACAGAGGATGAGGCGAAGCGGCTGCGACACGAGCGCCGCAGTCTGCGCCATCCACCTCCTGAGGACGTTATGATGTCAGGCGCAAATGGCACCCCTGAGGACTACGATGCTGAGCGAGAGGCTCGACGAGCTGAGCGTAGATCCAAACGCGATGGAGACAAAGGAGCCCGACGCGCTGAGCTCGAAGAGGCAGAGGCCAAGGCAGAGCGCCGTCGCGAACGTGAGCGCGAGAACGAGCGTGCGACTCTTGCGGAGAAGAAGGCCCGTCAGATGGCTGAGTTGGAGCGTCGCAACCAGGAGGCCGAGGAACAACTGCGTCGCATGGCCGAGAAGGAGGAGCGGAAGAAGGCACGAGGCGAGCGCAAACCGCCCTCCGACGAACGAGAGCGCGAGAAGCGTTCTTCGCGCCGCAAAGACAAGGACCGCGAAGAGCCCCGCCCAAAGACCGAACGCCGTCGAACAGTGCACGTAGACGAAGACGCAGAACGTCGCCGTCGTCACGAAGAGCGCCGCGCCGCCAGACGCAACTCCGAATACCCCGTCGCCGCCAGCGGCGAGCCCATCACCGACTACTTCGACGAGCGCAACGGCGGGGCCCGCAAACACCGCAGCTCGCGCCAGGCCCGCGACGAGGAAGAAAACATGCCGTACAGCAACAACAAGAGCGGCGACAAGACCTCGTCGTGGGTGGAATCCCTCTCCAACGAGCCACCCCTCCCTCCCCCCATCTCCGAAACCGTCCTCGACCCCGCCCCCGGCGCGCGCGAGACCCCCGAAGAAGACGAGGAAACCTTTTCGCAAGACGAAGACATCCGCCTGCGCATCGCCGGCCGCAAGGGCCCCAAGCGCGATAAAGAACGTGCGGAGCGCCGGAAGGCAGAGGACAAGGAACGCGACCGCGATAAGACGCACAAGCACAGTCGTCGCGCTACACACTACGAGGGCATGAAGACGGTTGACGACGATAGAGAGCGGAAGAGGGCGTCCCGCCGAACGAGCTATGTGCCTGCGTATGAAGAGCCGCCTGTGCGCACCTGGGATGGCAGACCGGCTGTTGATGGTGGTGCCCCGGCTGTCAAGCGGGGAAGCTGGTTTAAGAAGATGTTTTAAGCCGCGCCCTTCTTCTCTTCTCTTCTCTTCTTGCTCACAACTTTTTGGTTACGATGTAATGCGGGTTTTACGAAAGATTATCTTGGATGTGTATATGTTTTGGAATTTGTTTTGGATTACGGTTTGGATTATGGGATGATGACAGCGAAGCGACAGCGTGGTTTGGATCTCTTGCTTGATTAGCATTGCGTGGCGCTTTTTGATTCGTCTCTCTCGATCTTTTCTTGTCTACTTTACTTACTTTACTTTACTTCATGAGAACTACTTTTACCTTCTTCATTGCTTGCTTCGATCTATCTTCTTCTTTCTTTTGGCACCTTTCAGCGACGCTGCCTTTCTGTGATATCCTGGGTTAGGTTTCTGTGGGTATTCACTGGACAGGAGGCGGATGGGATGTGTAGGAAAGTCAGATAGATACCCCCTCTCTTTTAGTAGTTCTTCAATACTAGCGATCGTTGCAACTGCATATCAATCCTGCCAGTGTACATGTGAGTTTTCGGCTCTTTCTGGTATTATGCAAGTCATAATCTGCATTGTTTAATACTCGTTTGGTGGTATATCAGATACTGCTTTAACACCCAGCCATGACGCCTATCGCCAAACCCATGCTAGTTCCTCTCGGATGCTATAAACTACTCGTGCCTCCATCTTCCTAAACATGCTTCCCACACCTCACCCATCCATCTGTACAATAGTGAAACGGCCATTATAGGCCCATTTGTCACAGCTGCACAACCGCGCCCTCAACGCCTTCCTGAGTCTCCATATCATCGTCGTCCTCATCATCTTCCAGATCCTCATCTTCCTCCTCAAACCCAGTCTCCATCTTCAGCGTCTTGAGCCTATCTTTCATCTCGTCCTTTTTGTCTGCCTGCCACCGCGCCAGCGCTGCTGCAGAGTGTACTTTGAAGCCGAAAACACGGGGCTCGTACCGCCGTTGCGATTTCGGTGGCAGCATCGCAGGGTAGACTTGGAAGAGGATGTTGTGGAAGGAAGTGCCGAAGTAGGCACCGTCGATTACGGCATGGCGGGAGGATTTGGGGTTGTAGAGGTCTTCGCAGCGGGCGCAGTAGAGTTTTACGGGGGAGGCGTTGGGGACGTCGGATTGACCCATGGGGAGGAGGGGTTGCGATTCGCACATTACTCGGGGGCATTTGCCAAAGTCTGACTTCTTGAACTTCTCGAGCTGGGTGGTGTGTTAGTTGTGGGCGCGAGGCATGGGATATGAGCGCCTGACGTACCATCTTGGCAAGGCCCCTGGTAGTGACGATGTATCGTGCGTGGACGAGTCCGTAGAGATGCCGTGCCGACTTCTCGATCTGTTCCCGCATGTCATCGTCGCAGTCGAAGTCGAACACGTCTGTGACGAGATCGAGTGCATATTGGTAGTACTGAACTTCGGTGTTCAGGCCCGTTAGGTTGAAGCGATCGGTGAGGTATTCTTCGTCAATCTCGCAGAAGTATTCGTTTCCTCGAGAGGATATGAACTACTTGTTTGTTAGCCTGCGTTGAAAGAATAGCTGCATCTGCTCTTCTACGCTGTCGTGATCTTCCCACCAGTCGGACCACCACTCGCTCTGCATGAGCATGAGTGGGCCCCATTTGGCCGAGAAGATAGTATAGTCTTCATCCACTTCGAACGAATGGGGGCACCTCAGCGTGGAGATATAGCCGTCTTCGCCGCAGTCACCGCTGGCGCATGGTCAGACGCGTCCTGCAATGAAGGGCTGGCAGACCATACCACGCCATGAGGTACCTATAGTTCCACCTCGACGCCCCCAAGGTTTGTAGAGACATGACCAGCGATCAAAGAATACCGGTGTTGGTAATGTATGGAGTTCAGGTACTCACCCAGTCTCGCCAGTAGCTTGTGTAGTCGCTGTCCGTGTCGCTGTTGAAGTCGTCCATGTTTGCGCTTGCTCTCGGCGACGATGTCCGAGGGGGTTAGGGCGTCCGTATGTCTTGTTTGTAGGCTGCGACCACCGGCGGGGTGGGGCGGTGCGATCAGGCGCAAGCTCGGGTCGGGACGCGGTTGCGGAGTGAATTGCGCGCCCACCTAGTGGGATGGCAGTCGTCGCATCCCACCTCCACTGCTTGTTTCTCCGCTCCGGGCGCGCTAGTCGCTTGGGCCGCGTCCCATCAACATGACAACCCCAGACTTCCCCACCAACCCTGCCTACTGGGTCGCTAACTATCTGTGCCAGTATCTGCGTACAGTAGACGATCCCGACTTCAAGACCCGTTTTGGAAGAGGTCCCTGGGTCCCGACCATGTTACGGGGCAGGCACGTGCACGTGAGGTGCCTAAAAATTGATTGCACGAAGTCAATCAATGTCTTACTACATTTCGTACACCGATGTCACTTGCTTAAAGTTTGATGTACGACGTCAGTAATCGTCTTACATCAATTCTTACATGAATCTTACTTGCCATTAGGCTAAAATGTTCACTGTTCCAAGGCTCCGTTGCCATTTCTTCGCATTCGATACCGTCTGTTTGTTAGCCAAGAACTCTATTTCTTTGTCATATAGCTTTCCTGTGACCCGTTGCCATCATATCGCGGATAATTTGTTTCGGTCGTTCAAGTCCACAAGTTCAGAACAGGTATTCAAAATCAATTACTCTTTTCCTAGTCGCGTTTACCAACGAGAGCTATCTCACATTCCCCCTCAAAGCCATTCACACTGGGGACTAGTGTCTTGCTAATCACCCCGTTATCACGACGTGCGCGATGTGTGCCGCCGCAACCGTCCTCCAGCCTATTGCTAGGTTCTGCTCTCAGCTGTTTTCCATCCTCCAGTACATGCCTACCCTTGCTGTTTATGGTAGACGGGACTCTTCCATCGACGCGAACCGTCTGTTCAGAGAGATCGAAGCGCGGTTCCCGGAAAGATGGAGGAAGGACGGATGGTATCTTTCCACTGTAAGTACCATCTTTCCGGGAGAGACTTTAAAGTTGACATTGCGCGTGTCTGACAGACAGCGGCACTTATCGCCAGCGGCCAGCCGGGTCTGATAGGTCCTCTCTACAACTACATCATCTCAAAGCCGTCATATCAGACGTCTGCAGAGAGACAACGTCTCGTACGGCGCATGAGAGAAGCCATGATCAAATGCATCATTCTCAACGGCATTCCCGTCGTCATGGAAGCTTTTGTGTCTCTTGCGAAGCAAGAACAGCCCGAAGATCAAGATCACAGTTTCACCCGCAAGGATTGGAAAGCTGATGAAGCGAACCACAAGCGCGGTCTCGAGGTTCTTGAAACGCTTTATGGCGATGAAAATGAGAGAATTTGGGCATCATTCGGCTCGCACAAGGACATACGTGAGTGCCCCACAACTTCCCGCGGCTCTCCATCTTGAGGCTAATGCGCCATGTAGCGTGGCTCTCGACCGACATATCTTATGGTCTGTTCCTTGCCGATCACAACACTCTCGATATCATCGAATCTGAGCTCGTCATCTTGCCTGCAATCATGTGCCAAGGCCTTGTTCCTTCAACGAAATGGCATCTACGTGGGTGTCTCCGAGTCGGCTGCACACGCGAGGAAGTGGAATGCATACAACAGGTTATTGAACATGTCGCAGAAACCTGTGGGAAAGAACTGAAAGGTCTGCCGAGAGTTTCAGACATACCTACAGATGAGATGTGAATGACCAGAAGAGTCAAGGAAGCCCAGAAGGTATCTGGAAATATGTTGGGGTATAGGCTGTCTCGTACTGTTACATGATCACGAGAAAATGGGCATGAAGAAGTACACGTAAAATTGGTATCAAGAGCATGTCTATCTCAAACCTTCGCCACGGCTGTCAAGTACTGCTGACTGTGCGGGTAGTCGATATACCCCTTCGGTGTCTTTGGAGTGTAGAAAACAGAGCGGTCATACTTGACCAGCGGTACGCTCTCCTTGACGCGGAAAACCAGGTCGGGGTTGGCAACGAAATATCTGCCGAAGGCGATGATGACATCGTAGTCCTTGTACGTCTCATCAACAGTCTGCTTCGCTGAGTCGGGTAGGAAGCCTCCTGCAAGCATGACGGGACTCGCGTTGCCCCATCGTTCGACCATCCACTGCACAGTCTTCTGGCCTCCGCATTCCGAGTCATCATTGCCAGTGATGCGGGCTTCGATCAGGTGGAGATAAGCCAGACCCAGTTTCTTCAGCTCTTCGGTGAGGTATTCGAAAGTTGGCTCGGGCTCGTCCATTAGCATGCCGTTGAAGTCGCTGTAAGGGCTGAGGCGCATTGCTGTTCTTTGAGCGCCAACAGCAGCGATAACAGCCTTGGTGACTTCGAGATGGAATCGCGCTCGTTGCTCGATGCTTCCTCCCCAGCTATCCGTCCGTTGGTTGCAAGTGGTTTGGAGGAATTGATCCGGTAGGTATCCATTAGCACCGTGGATCTCGACACCGTCAAACCCCGCAGCAATTGCGTTCTTGGCTGCGCTCGAATAGTCTGCTATGGTTTCCCAGATCATCTCCTCTGTCATTTCCACTGGTGTTCGGTCTTGAGATGTGATGGGTACCGCGCTGGATGAGACCAGCGTGATGCCTTCTGCGTCCAGCGCATCGGTCCTTGCGGCACGACCTTGATGCCAGAGTTGGCAGTATATCGCACAACCTTTAGCATGTACTGCTGACGTGATGTCTTTCCAGGAAGCGATGTGGTCTTCTTGCCATATTCCTGGGGCATTTTGGGCGCCGATGGCGTTCCTGGAGATGATGGTTGCTTCGCTGACGATGAGCGTGCCAGGTACACATGCTCGTTGCTCGTAATACTCTGCGATACTTGGTCAATATCGGCCCTTCGTAGTAACGGTGTTCAAGGTACCTTTGTTCATGGGCGTCGCCTTGTAGTCGTCGCCCATGCGATACCGGGTCAACGGCGCCATAGCGACACGATGACCCAACTTTACATCTCCAACTGTCAATGGTTGGAAGAGTTTCGTCATCTTGGCAGTCGATGTTGGTACAACACAAGACGAGGTAGGATCTGATCAAGTAGTCTCGCAAAAACTGTGTAATGGCCTACAATGTCAATGTTTCGTAGCTCTTTAGAGAGTGTATGGCTGTGTCTACCACACATATTATGGCCATTGCCCAAGCCTTGTGATGGGTCACCATGGTCGTTATCGGCAACCCACCTGGGCAGCCTCGCAAACCCCACCTGACACATGGCATCTGTCAGTCTCAGCAGTGATGCCGAGAACTCGCCTGAATACCTTCAATGCCGTTTTCAGCGTTATGGTCCGATGTCGATACGAACAGCTATCGGCGAAGGGTCTCAGGGGCCGAACATGCGTCGGCTCAAAAAGTTCCGATGAGAAGGCCCCGCACGTGCCCTGCTAAGACGATCCACTTCGCAGCCTCACCGTCATCGGCTTTCATCCCATAATGCCACTTACGCCATCGAAGCGTGTAAGCGTTTCTGCGATGTGAGTGGGCCCCTCAACTGTGACTGGCTGCTTTCGCAATTCCTCCACGAGGAACACACCTCCCGACGATCTCGCAGCTGTCGACCGGCGTCATGACAGGGCTCAGTCCCGCTCGGACAGCCTCCCGGGGCTCCACGCCCAACTCCAACGCTAGCTACGATGTCTAGGACCGTTGGTCTTGTTCCAAATATACACATACGCAGAATCGCTATGTTTTTGAGGCTTGTAGCGACTGTGGAAGAATCCGATGATGCGGGAACAGCAAACCTCCATTGACGAGATGGAATCGACGCGACCCATCAAAGAGAGCGATTCATGCGTTGGCAATACTCTCGTTGAGAAACCATCCAGATACGACAAGCCATGCGAATTAGACATACCTACAACGAATCCTCATGGCGCGTCCCCTTCGCCTACCGTGGGAGAGGATGACGACGACAAGAGCGACGCAGCATCCATCGGCGGCCAAAGGAACACCTTGACATCGACACAACTTCGAATCGCAATCCCCGCACTATCAGTCTGTCTCTTCGTTTCGTTCATCGACCAAACCAGCGTCTCAACAGCAACACCCGCGATCGCCGTGGATTTGAACACCGGAACTGCAACATCATGGATCGGCACATCGTTCCTGATCGCATCGACGGCGTTCCAACTGATAAATGGCCGTTTGTCGGACATCTTTGGTCGCAAGAATCTGTTGTTGATCAGCCTCATGTTGATGGCTCTAGGAGACCTTGGATGTGGTTTCGCGCGGACTTCAGTGCAGCTATTCGTTCTTCGTGCCATTGCTGGTATTGGAGGTGGTGGCATCAACAGTCTTGTCATGATCATCGTTAGCGATATCACAACATTGCAGAATCGGGGTAAATATCAAGGTATGTACCGTTGTGTACCTTACAACCGAGCATTGCTAATACTTCTACACAGGATGGCTAGGTGCAGTCATTGCCCTGGGAAACGGTGCAGGACCTTTTCTCGGAGGTGCTATCGTTGAAGGCGCGACTTGGAGGTGGGTGTTTTGGATAATACCCATCATGACTGTACCCACCTCCATGGTCATACTGTTCTTCTTGCCGCTCAAGCATCGGTCTGGTGACTACCTCGCAAAGGTCAAGAAGATTGACTACGGCGGCATGGTACTGAACATTGCATCTACATTACTCCTGCTCATCCCCTTGTCAGGAGGTGGTGTGACCTATGCATGGGGATCCCCCTTCTTCATCGCCTGCACTGTTACCGGCGCCGTACTAGGCATACTATTCGTGCTTCACCAATGGAAACTCGTCGCTCTCCCGATCATGCCGCTTCGATTATACCGCGCGCCGCACTGCTGGGCACTATATCTACAGACGTTTCTCATCGGCCTTGCGTACTTCGGCAACTTCTTCTACCTCCCTATTTACTTCCAATCGGTCCTCCGGTACTCGCCCCTAGCCTCGGGTGCTTTGATTCTACCAGTAGTCATCACGACATCTTTTGCGTCCATCGCATCCGGTCAGTACATGAACCGAGTCGCCAGCTACATGCACTGCATTCTGGCCGGATTCGCCCTCTGGACTCTTGGAAGTGGCCTCACCCTAATTTTCGACCGAGACACGGGCCTTGCTGTGCTAATTGTTGTACTCATCATAGAGGGTGCCGGTATTGGCCTGACGCTCCAGCCGACGCTTGTAGGGATGTACGCCAACAGTCGCAATGAGGATCGCGCTGTGACAACTGGGTTACGCAACTTCATCCGCACTATCGGTGGCGCTTTTGGTCTCGTCATCTCGGGAGTCATCCTTTCGAATACGCTCAGCAGAGATTTGTCCAAGCGTCCTTTTGTCTCGGATACCCTGATGGCTCAGTTGACTTCCTCAACGTACGACCTCGATAAGTTTGGCCTCTCTCTGGATCAGAAAGAAGAGGTTTTTGATACCTACATGCTTGGTCTGCATTACATCTTCATCTTTTTCACAGTATGCTCAGGTCTCGGTCTGGCTCTGACATTCTGGGTTGGAAACACCAGCTTGAAGGCGCCGAAAAAGTCGGACGAAGAAGAAGGACAGCCGATGGAGACGCAGGACGAACCTCAGCAGCAAGTCATTCAAGGTCGAGAAGTCGCGTCGGAAGGGGAGGTCTTTGATGAGAAGAGGCCAATGACAGGGGAGGCTGACGTAGAACGCAACGTTCACACAAGATGAGCGATCATATAGCACATCGTCAGGGCTCAAGGACATCTTCGCAAAATATCCGTTGGGGCCTTGTTGACATGTTAAAATAAAAGTCTCGTAGACATACTTCAAAAAAGTTTCGTAGCATGCAGCACATTTTACCAAAGACCATCAAACTATTCCACTATCAGGGCAGCCTCTACGCACCGCACGTCTGAATCCTGATCTTGCAGGTGAGTAGCATGTGCATGCATTCGCCCTTGTCGTACGCTGTCTTCATGGCCAAGTGCCAACCGAGCGGAGCGCGACGATTGAATGAGACCATTAAACGTACACCAGCGACTTCGGAACTTGAGCGCAACAATACCCCGCAGCAAGACCCATCTTTCACTATCAATTTGCTAGAGAACCGTCTCCAACTCAACCTGGTCTTTAATCCTTGGTATGCCAACTTAGGTAGGTCAGTACAGCCCCACAAAGGCCGGTCGTTATCGGCGAGTCGAGATTGGCCTATCTCTCGACGATCCCCCTCCAAGCCATGTTCTCCATACGGTTTCTTCCAAGCCGATAAACACATTCATCCGTCTGATAACACAACGGTGGGTCACAGCCGGCCGCAGAAATGACATCGCATCGTGAGGCACGGCAGAGGATGGGAGATGGCCGATTACGTGAGTATGTCACGGATGAGAATGGCCGATAGCCAAGTAGGCGCTGGAGAGTGGCCGCCGCGACATACTCCGCTGGTGATACATATATGCTGCATCGCGAGACTTGGTTGTTTACTACTTCGAATCTGCTACATCTTCTGTAATCAAATCAAGCTTATCGTTCTTCAAACATCGCCATCATGCCTGAAGTTTACGCCGCACCCCCCGACTACGCCTTCCCCCGTAACTTCAAGGGTTACGGTGAGAAGGGTCTACAGGGCTTGAAGTGGCCCAACAATGCCAAAATCGCCGTATCTTTCGTCATCAACTATGAGGAGGTGAGTTCATATGCAATCTTATCTCAGATGCATAACTAACACACCACAGGGTGGTGAGCGCTCAGTCATGAAAGGCGACGGAGTATCCGAGATCAACCTCCGCGAATACCCAGCCCAACCCAGAATCAACGAGCGCGACTACAGCGGCGAATCAGAATTCGAATATGGCTCCCGCCGCGGCTGGTGGCGCATGTTTAAGCTCTTCAACGACTACAAGATGAAGTTCACCCTCTACGCCGTCGGCTCCGCCGTCGAAGAACAGCCAGAAGTCGTTACCCGATGTGTGGAAGAGGGCCACGATGTTGCTTCTCATGCCTACCGCTGGATAGATCATGCCAATCTTTCTGTTGAGGCCGAGAAACAGCATATCAGGGATGGTATCACGTCGCTGAAGAAGCTCTCCGGCTATGCACCAAAGGGATGGTACTATGGCCGCCCATCCCCACAGAGCAGAGCGCTCATCCCACTCGTGTACGAAGAGATGGGCGAGGAGCTGCTGTGGGCCTCAGACTGCTACGCCGATGACCTACCCTACTGGACCGATCTCCCCCAGGAGCGCAGCAGCGCAAACCCCAAGGGATGCTTGATGGTCCCGTACAGCTACGACTGCAACGACTTCAAATTCCACTGCCAGGGAACTGGTTTCCGCAGTACGGCTGCGTTCTACGAGCACATGAAGAACTCTTTCGATGTGCTGTATGAGGAGGGCGAGGCAGGAGAGCCGAAGATGATGACCATCGGTCTGCACTGCCGTATCATCGGTAGGCCGGGAAGGTTCAAGGCGCTTCAAGACTTCGTCAAGTACATCTCCGAGAAGGAGGGTGTTTGGGTTGCGACTAGGACGCAAATAGCGGAATCTTTCAGGGAGCAGTTCCCGTATAGGAAGGGTCAGCTCGCGTAGATAGTTAATCGATTCTGTTTCAACGTTCAACTCGGAGTCGTTTGCGCATATGAGACAACAGTGTCGGGGACCTTTCGAACTAAAGCCAATGAAATCGCCTATCTATACTCTCCAAAGTTCCACTGGCTGCCATCCATCATACCGCGGTTATCCATCGACATAGCTGCATCTTGAATGGGGTCCACGCCGTAGAGACCAGATCCTTCATAAGCATTCCAGCTCATCTCATTCTGGCCTTGGCCAAAGCCATCGAACCTCATTGCTGCAGATGCGGCGTCATCGCTTACCATCTCATTCCACATCCGCCAACCCTGCCACCCACCTGGAGCCTCTTCGTCCACTTCCATGAACGCCTCCTTCACAGCGTCAGTAACCATGTGTGACATAGTAGGCTTACTACCCATCGTTGGGTGCTGTGACGCCTGCTCGCGGCTATCTCGTCGGCTTCGAGGAGAAAGTCCTGCCATAGAAGGTTCTGCATCCACGTCGAGCTGCAGCGGCCGCGAACCATTGCTATGCATCATTGCAGTTGGTGCCGAGTTTACGATCGTCTTGAATAAACTTCCGGACAGGGCATCGAAGATGTCGCGATACTTGACGGCACCGGGCCACTTTTCGCCGAAGATAGTCAGAATCTGAGAACAGGCTCGTGTCGCTTCAAGAACGTCGTATGAGAAAAGGGATCGATCTCGCCAGATGCAGTACACCAGCGTCAGGCCAGCTACAAAGCACGAATGTAGCGAGATCATCGTGTAGGTGAGCGTACGATTTTGGCTCAGCCGCTTGTACGCATTGCAGACACAAGCAGCAGAGCGTGCGCAAGTGAGAAAGCGTATGTCCGAGGTGTCCAGCGTAGGGAGAAAGACGGTGAAGAGATAGAGCATCGCTTTGTGATACTGGACGCCATAAAAGTCTCGCGCATCGAGATATGCGCTTTCGGGATCGTACATCCAAGTAATCTTGTTCCCATTCTTTGGCGTTTGCGGATATGTTCGTAGCCATTCATCTAGGTCGCTCCGGATTGTAGCCATTTTCCGGTCAAGTTTGGCCCGTTGTTCTGGCGTCCCGTTGAAGACATCTCTATCAACGCGAAAGACTGTCTTATGAATCCGCGACTGGATCTGATCAAGCTTGATGATATGTATGAAAGGCTCGATATTTGACCATTGGGGCCTGACAGAGTCTGGCTCTTCCGGATGCGTTAGTGTCCAGAACTCAGGGCTAGTACTGGGAAACTTGAAGAGTCAGTTCACATATCACAATCTGCTTGCGCGACATACCTCGACGTTGATATCTCGGTCAGCGATGGCAAAAGCTCTACCAAGCACAATGCTAGTCACTCTGTCAAGGCAGTAACACGCCCAGAACGCACGTCGCCTCAGTTCAGCATCTCTTGCAAGTTCAGGAGAGCCTGTGACCTTCTTCTTCCTGTGTAAGCCCATCTCAATGCAGACAGAGGTCGCATAACGAATCTGGGACCAGGCGCCTGCACCATATGGAGACCTCTGACCATGCACCCCAAGCAGGATAAGAAACTGCACTGTGGCGAGGTTGTGCTGGTCAAGGATGTAGTCCATTGGCTCGGTGGCTGCGACAAGATGATGCTCAGAATCCACCCCACATGGCTTCCGCGTCAACGACAGGAATCGAGCAGTAATGGCATATATGAGATGGAAAATGCTACGTTCAATGATAGTCAGGGCACCTCGCACAAATTGCTTGTCGAAGAGCTTCGTGTAGACTACACGATCCAGCAATGGCCAGCGCGTGTGGATACGTTCGAAGAATACGTCAAACAGCATGCGTGCCTGTTGTCGGTCTGGGAAATCCGCAACGGGCTCATCGGAGTGAGTAGACTCGGGAGGAACAGGAGGCCGTGAAGTTCCGGTAGCCTGGCATGTTTGGTTCACTGGCAGAGCTGTTGCTCTCTTGCCAGAACTTCGGAAGATGGAGGACTGGATGATGCGAGCAATGGTAGCGCCGGAGCTAGAGCCGACATAGTAAGGCTCCGAGGTTGTATCTGTGGTACCAGATGCACATAAGGAGAGATACGCAACGCCATCGACGAGTGACGTACGATCCTCGCCCTCAAGATCCTCAGAGAAGCAGTCATCTCGGGATTCGCGACGCGATGCACTGGACTGGGGGTGAGGAGCGAGCGCCGGCTCTTCAACGTTCATGGAAGATGCTCTTTGCAAAGTCTCTGGGCCGTTTTCATAATGGTCCTCTGCATGGTCAGGAAGACGGGCCTCCAGAAAAGCGATCCGCTCTTCTAGGGCGTTGATATAGCTGAGGAGTCAGGAAACAGTTCGTGCGCATGTCAATGGCCGTGGGAAGAACCTACACAGACTTGCCGCCGGGGTACTGAGGACGAATAGTCCTTTCATACGCACAGGCTACGCCAGCTCGCTGGCAAGATCTGCAGACTGGGTGCGCACCATCACACTACATGATTCTTAGCCAAGGTGCATGAAGCAACGTCCCACGTGACGTACACGCTGCTTTCTCCGTTTGCATCTTTTGCAGGCCAAGGCCACCCGGGATTTCCTAGTCGCAGGACCTGAGTTTGAGACATTCGACTGAGCTTCCTTCGGAGAATTGGATGCGGGTACTGCGTCTGCGGCCGTTCCCACACCCCGACCGCAGGAGGGGCTTACGGGGCTCTCTGGGTAGGACTGCAACATGGCCTCGTCGTCAGGAGTATGGCGTTGATGCGACAGCCCTGCAGCTGTCGGCTCTGATTCATACCGTTTGGATCCATATTTCCCACGTGCGATAGTCCCGTTGAGGCCCAGGTGGAATGTGTGAGCCGACGTGCGTCTTATCGCGAATTATCCATGATAGGCTAAGATGGCACGGGCCTCCAATGGCTTTATCTCGGCTGCACCCATCCGGCGCCTGGAGACCCCAAAGATTGCGAAGGAACTACGCCATAACAAGCAACATATCGGAGGTCTACATCACACTCCTATCTCCACCCCTGTTCTTTATCGCACCGCATACGCTGATGTCAGGCTTGGGAATGACTGATGTGCGCATGGCAACATGGCACATCGGCTAGAAAGTGCCCGAAGAGGCTGCGCCAGAAGCCATGCCCGTGGTCAATCACAGCCCGATATGCGTGCGATACGTGAACGACTTGGAGTTGGCGTGACGTCTGATCGACATATGAGACACCATGGTCCGCTGACATGAAGAGGATTTGGAGGATTGACCACGCCCAGTAGTCGACCAAACCACACCATTACAGCACCATGGGGAAAGTCCAGCTTCCGACCAAGGACCAGATCGCGGCGCCCTTTCGCTCGAAAGAGGCCTTTGTCGACTTCATCAGGGCTCCCCAAGGCAACGACGGCCATGCCCCAATCGGGGACGAGAGATGGTCTAACAAAGATCTTGAGCCAACGCCGGTGGAACAGAGGACTTGGACCTGGTAAGGATCTTGACGACGCATATCCTTGAGCTTTAATTGACAACTGAAGGTTCAACCTTCCTCTATACTGGTTCTCGAACCAGTTTTCCCTCGTCGGCTGGAATACGGGCTCCGCTCTTGTCACAGTCGGTCTGGTAAGCTACGTCCAAGCATGCAAGCGGAATCTAGAGACTAATGGCGTAAACAGACATGGCAACAATCTTTTGTATCAGCCTGCATTGGGTCTTTCCTAGCAGCAGTCGTGGTCGTCCTCATGGCTCGTCCAGGTGCCAAGTACCACATAGGATTTCCTGTGATTGCACGCTCAGTCATGGGCATGTACGGTTCCTACTTCTTCGTATTCATCCGAGCGATCGTATGCATCATCTGGTACGGAATCCAGTCCTTCTACGCCGGTAATATCCTCTCGGTTATGCTCCGTTGCATCTTCGGTAGCTCCTGGCAGAACTTCACGAACACACTATCGCCTACCGCAAGTGTCACCTCGAAACAGCTGCTGGCTTTCTTCATGGCCTGGCTGATGGAGTTTCCATTCATGTGGGTTCACCCCAGGCACATCCACTATATCTTCACCGTAAAGGGGTTCATCATGCCAATTGCCGCTTTCGCCATCTTCGGTTGGTGCATGGCCAACGGTGGCGGACTCGGCGCTATGGACCTTGCTTCCAGCGAAGGCGAGCTTGCCGCCTCAGTGACCCCTTTGGGATGGAGCATCATGGCCGGTATCAACACCATCTTCGGTTCTCTCTCGCCCATGTTGGTCAATCAGCCTGACCTTGCTCGTTACTGCAAGAAGCCTCGGGATGCTGGTGTGACACAAGGTGTCAGCGTCTTCGTGTCCTCCATCATTGTCTTTTTCCTCGGCATGGCCTCAACCACTTCCATGCAGGCAGCATATGGTGTTGCCTACTGGAATATCTGGGATCTCTTCGAAGCCATCCTTGACCACCACTTCGGCGCCGGAGCGCGTGCGGGGATCTTCTTCGTTGCTTTGGCGTTCTACTTCGGTGTCTTCGCCACGAACTTTGGAGCCAACTCAATTCCGTTCGGAAGTGATATGACTGGCCTTTTCCCCAAGTGGCTCACCATTCGCCGTGGACAAGTGCTTTGCGCCATTCTTGGTGTCGTCGTACAACCATGGGAACTGATGAAGAACGCAACGGCCTTCTTGAGGTAAGTTCACCAATAGGCTTCCCACCAACCACGCTAACGATGAATTAGTTTCTTGGGTTCTTACAACATCTTCATGGCCCCTCTTTGCGCCGTCATCATTGTCGACTACTATATCGCGCGCAAAGGAAACATACATATACCATCGTGCTACGATGGCAAGAAGACGGGTCTCTACTGGTACTGGTCCGGTGTCAACTGGAGTGGTGTTGCAGCCTGGCTCCTTGGTACAACTATGGGTATTCCTGGCCTTATTGGTCAGTACGAGCCACAGATCATTTCGGCGGCTGCGCAGAACATGTACCGCATGGGCTGGTTGCTAACTTTCTTCACCGCGGCGACGGTCTACTTCGTCATCACCTTCTTCGTCAAACCGCGTGTGTTCCCTGTTGGACGC